AAGTGATTGAAAAAGCGAAATAAAAACCATATCTTCCTTAAGAATATAAAAAAAAACTGTTTTAGATATTTACCTTGTATATCATGGTCCCTCTAAAGCAGAAGGAATAATAACTTGCTGGTATTGCAGTAAGGTCTGAAAGAACAACAAATTAAGAAATATAACATTATACAATGTATTCAAAATGTGTGAACTTTTGAATGATCTTTATAACAAAAATTAAAGAATATCAATTTATAAAGCTTTCCTGTTATACAAAATCTTCAACTAATACAAATTAAAAGAAATACAAATTAATGTTGACTGATAAGGAGAAAACATTTCGTTTTTAGATATAAATCCTCTTTAATTCATTTAGATGGCATATGACTTTCTTTTAAAAGGTTATCTGAATTTAACTGGTCAATCAATTACTCAGGTATCAAAATGTTTATTTTAGAAGAAATTTCATCAGGTTCCTTTCCTTTCCTTCATTTGTCTCTTTTATCACAATCAGTGCTTTCATTTCTTCTTTCTTGTCTTCTCACGGTCAATCAAGAACTTTTAGCACCAGTGATCTGTAAGTATTATTCTGACATCTAGCTCAAAGAATGGCCCCCTTCACTCCCTCCATCTCATCCCAGCTTCTGACAACTATAAAAGATGACATGAGGGACCAAAATGGATATTACGCGGACATTCCATCTCTCAGATTTCACTCCCACGGGAAGCTTATTAAGACCGCTGATGCCATCACTAAGTTGGCAACACAGCTGGTATTAATTACCCACAAGCATACTCCATCTTTTAATGTCTTCCTTCTCTCAAAGAGCATACAAAGAAATTATCAAGGAAATCACATAAAATATCAGAAGTTCCAATTACTAAAAACTTCAACATGTTTTTTTTTTTAATTCAACACGCGACTTCAATTTTAACTAGAAATATACCGGCAGATCAAATAATTTCCTGTCAATGTTTTATCACTAAAAGTCAAGTGAGACTCTTTCCAGAGAACCTTGCTGTTGAGAAACTTGTCTAATAACTGTTTAAAAGTTGTGTTGCATTTCTAGGTAGGCCCAACAATCAAACAATCAAGAACGATACAGATAATCAGATTGAACATAAATCACTATCATCTCTATCATATTAATAGTATTCTTATGAAGTGATATATATTCAATGTATTCATCCTACATTTGCTTGTTTCATCATCACCAACACTTCACTTCCACTCCCCCCCCCCCACCCCCATTACCACCACCACCACCACCACCACCACCACCACCACCACCACCACCACCACCACCACCACCACCACCACCACCACCACCACCACCACCACCACCACCACCACCACCACCACCCACCACCACCACCACCCACCACCACCACCACCACCACCACCACCACCCACCACCACCACCACCACCACCACCACCACCATTAGCATTATCATCACTATCAATGTTATTTTATTTAAAATATAACCAGCTCTGGATAAAAATGTAATAGGAATGTAACAAAAAAGAAAGACTGAAAATGAAGTAAAAAATCATCCAATCATTCACCTTTTTTTCCCTCTCATGAAAGATAATTAGAAATGAAGAAGAGAAGGGGAAGGGGTTTCAAAAGGGAAGAGATGGGAAGGGGGTCTCAAAAAGGAAGGCAGTGCGTATGGAGATGAAAGGAGGAAGAGAGAATAACTCAGGAGAGAGAATGGAAACGTGAGAGATAATCACTTCTGTGGTTTCTTGCTAAAACAGCTTCAGAGCAAAGATTCTTTGTCTAGCTGATCTCAAATCATTTTCTGGTGCACTGCAGGCAAAACTAAATAAACCATGACCTTAAGGTGACCTTGAAAGAAGAAGCAGGCCACAAGTTTGCTGATCTGAAGCCCAGTACAAGCAAGCGCAATCAATTACCAACTTTCTCATCTATCCTATGATTCTTCTTTCATGAAGTAGTTTGGAGAGGGCTGTCCCAAGATGGTGAGAATGAGCATCATCATATGGCATGTGACTCCATCCCACTGAGGAAGGATGCAATTCATGAAAAGGGAGATGGTGCACATTTTAACAATGGTGTATTGGCTTCTATAAGCTGGTAAAGGGATCATTTTGCATATCTTTACTCAGACAAAACACATACTTGATCATTACTTTCAAACTTATTAATATTCAAACCAGAGTCAAATGTATTTAAACAGTTACAATAGATATAAGGATTTTGTAACCACACGTTTCTGGAGGGACACTTGACAATTAACAAGAAGAAGTTAATGAAGAAACATTGGAATTAGATTCAGATACAACAGTACCGACACTATAGCAGACCACTCATTCCAGTAGAAATTATGAGCTAGAAAAATAATAATAGTTACACAAGGGCCTCTTTAGCAGCAGACTAACAACTCATTTAGTTTGTAAGAAGAGAATAAAGTTTATCCTAATCACAATCAGAAAGTATAAGAGCAGTTTAATGGGAATGTTTGTTAACGAGGAATGGGCTGCCTCAGCATGGAGACAATGGAATCTTTAAGCACAAGTCATTAAGTTTGAGCAGATCTTCCATTGGTCTAATGGTATCTTTTGATTTACACCATTATCTGCTGACGACTGCAAGTCATAATAGTGGTGCAAGGCATTAAAGGGTGACTACTGCACCCTTTTGTAGGCTACCCATTTACCTATTCAGACATGGTTCTATACAAACAGGGTCCATGCATGATAAATTAAACCAGACAGAAATATGTGTAACTCTATGCGGACTATGAAAGGACCCGCAGATTACAGGGCCAGGGGCACCAAGTGATTAACTTTTTTTGTTTGTCTCAGAGTTGTGATAGGAAAAAGAGAACGAGGGAGAGACCTGAAAGAAAAGCCTAGTTATGAAAACAGGGAGGGAAAAAATGGGGGAAACAAGAGAAGGAATTGTAATGTATGGGAATATATGGTGGTGTGTATGGATTGTTTATGCGTTATCTGACAAGGAGAAATGTACCAGAATCCAATCAAGAGCCGCTACCTCCTAAATTCCTCTCTGGATTGTATAAATAATGGAGGAGCGTGACCCCGCCTGACCTCAAGAAGCTGGGCCAAAGATGAGGTTGATTAGCTTACATGGGTTCCTTCTCTCTCTCTCTCTCTCTCTCTCTCTCTCTCTCTCTCTCTCTCTCTCTCTTCTATCTCTTTCTACCCAGCTCTTGGTTGTTTCTTGATGAAGTGTGCCCCATCTGGCGGTGATTAGACCCCACAGTCTTGGCAGTGACAGAACCATTGGGGTCAGGGGCTAATTAGGCTAGGGGGCCCATGGCAACCAAACTCAACCCCACTCTATTCCTGGTCTAACATGGACATCTATATTGTCTTTCAATAAACTTTCTCATGCTTGGTGTCTCTCTCTCTCTCTCCCATACAGCTCTGGTCAGTCATGTTGGATTGGTTATTCAGCCTCAGTTTGATTTGTTCCCATCATTAAAACCTGGCCATGTGGAAGGCTTCCAATCTATCTAGCTTAATTGCACAGGTAAAATTGTATTTAAAGCACAAACAGAGTAATTATATTTTTATGGCCTCATCTCTAATTGGCGATGCATTTTGGGGAAAATGATACTAATGATAAAACCCATTTAAAAGCGCTCTTAATTAGTTAAAAGTTGTGAACGCAGGCCTCGAGAGCTCTTAAAGCAACTCTGATATCCCGACATGAAACTAGAATTGAGTAATCCCTGCTATCATTAGAATGTACAGAGCAAATAATGACGCTGAAGGCAGGCAGCCACATTTGCTTCATCAAGTTCATTACTCTGAAATGCCAATTATTTCTCAAGCAGGGAGATTGTTCCGTTCTGGTATGTGTGCTCCTGATGAAGGCTTGATATTTATGGCTATATCACATTTAGACAGAAGGAGATGACATGAGAGAGACAGAGGAAGAGAGAGGGGAGAGAGGGGGAGAGAGGGGGAGAGAGAGGGGGATGTAACGATGGAAAAAGAGGAAGGAAGAGTACAAGGAATACTCTGTTCAGCTGTCTAAAATCATCAGATTAACTGCTCCCATTCCGAGCATTTATAGCTAATCCACACCCCACTCCAAACCTCTGATAATCCTCACAACCCAAGATGGTGGCTAACAGGGGCAAACTTTCTTTTTGCATACGTGTCTAATTTCATCTGTCTTTTCCATAGAATCATATAAAGTCCCAGCCAAGTGTTTTTGTGTTTTGGGGCTCTATTACTTTAGAAATGGGGATATAATTATGAAAGGCTGTGTCACTTCACCACCACCATACAAACCGAAAGTCCCGAGAATCAGACAACAATCAGTGGGTCCAAACCAGGACCAGTCTACGCTTTGACACAGTGAATATTAGCTGTAACTAGACAGGTTTTTGGTCACAAAGTGAAGCTATTATTTCTCATCTTTTGAGTTACCTCTTGATATCTTCTCATGTCTGATGAGGAGGCCCAGGTAGAGGGGGAATTAATAACTAGTCTGTAATCACAGACCTCTTTGGACTACCACCATTCCTTGATATAGATCTACTAACTGAAAACATGTTACAGCCTACAGGCAGACCTTATATGATAGATCATTCAGTGCAGTAAAGTGAAAGATCTCCTATTCTAATTTATATATGATAACGGAAAAGGGTAAAGAGAAGGAGGAAATGTTTCAAAACAAACCACTCTGGCTTAAAACTCTCATTTTAAAAGTAGATTGCAACAACAACAACAAATGTACTACCAAACTTCATGCACAACATTATTTTGCAATAATAGCCTCATCTAGTATGCAAGGAAGAAATGTATTTTTTCACCAAAATCATCCTAATTATCTGTTAGTTGATATAAAGGCATTTTATTGGAGAAGACAAAAGATAGTTTTGCAATAAACAGGAATAGCGGAGAATGTGGAGTGGGAGGTGAACATGAAAGCATATGAGGCTATTATCATGAGTATTAATCCTGATTGAGGTGCAAACTATACCCTTGTGATATATTATATACTGAGAAGAAGTACGTTTCACTCCTTATATCAAGCTTTTGAGATATTATTTGGTTATTTAGGCCTTGAAATCATAATTGTTGGATTGGCAAGTCCAAGTCGCAGAGCTGCAGAGTATAGGGCTGATCCTTCACAACAGGCACTGTATCAAACTTAACATCTGAAGCTCTCTCAAATTGCTAGAAAAAGTTTCAAAACTGTTGTTTTTTATCAACATAAATTTCTCTATTAGGTCCCTCCTCAATGAGTGGCTGGTCATACCGAAGGGTCTAATGGAATGAGACTAAGGAGTTAGTTTGTCTGGGTAGATGGTGAGGGGCACAGCAGTGTTCCTCTGGCTGTAAACTGAATTCAATTAGACAAAGCAGGAATCACTGTCAGTGAGCAACTCATTACCTCACATAAGGACATTAAGGTCACCGATAGGCCACCAAAGATCAAGGTTTCGTTTCTCACAACACTTTCAGCTCACACAGCCTCTCTCTTTTGTCAGAAAACCTCTTCATGGTAATGATTATGACAAATACTTTGGGAAGTTGAAGAAAGAATTGTCACAGACTCTGCTGCCTGATTCTGACAGCTAGAGTCTAAAGAGAGACCAGGGCACGCTACTGTGGGAAGCTCGCATTTGTGGTTTGAGCTTAGATTCTAATTACTAGCAACAGGACAAATTCACTTGGTTGCTTTTCTCAGGCCCTTCACTTAATATTTTATCAGTTCAACTAATAGGTCTATGCTTCTTTGACTGATCTTGAAATAACGTGAAAGGTATTCACATAAACTAGAGTAATAAACTAAACCCTTAAATTAATGAAGAAAAAAAAACATCAAACTATGTGAAACCAATGTATGTTCTGTTGAGATCAGGAGAAGACAACAATTTTTTTTCTTCAATTTCAAAAGTAAACCAAAGTAGAAATGTAAGTCATCAAATCCCAAGATAATTATGTATTGTTGGTACATTGTATTCATTAAATATGTCTTTGAGAAGGGAACAAAATCCCTAGAAAGCTTATTGTTAAAGACATATCGTTTAAGGAATTGGTTGAGGAAGATAATAAATGACCAAGTAGTATTCTGATGGACTTTGTCTTTTATGTTTTATTTTTTATTTCATTTCATTTGATTTTTATATTTTAAATTTTGGAGGGTGAGAGAGAGGGTTAGAGGACAAAGGTCAACAATTCATTGGTTTTGATTGTTGATATAGCTTTCATCCCTATAACACTAAAATGTCTAATAATTTAAAAAAAATAAAAAAATTAGCATCCCTGTATGAGTATGCTTCAACATATGGAATATATACGCTTAGACAATCTCCAATCATTAAATTGAGGAATGAGAGCAAGGTAGCCCAATTACAAAATGGTGACCGACCAAGTAACTCACCAGCAGCAGGGCGGGAGAGAGAAGGGTCAATGTAAGAGGTCAAGGGTGAGGTGATCTACCAGCCTAAGATGATTGGTCGCTTTTCTTTCAATCTCGCCGCTGAGAGGTGATTAGGAGAGATTGCCAGACATGGGACCCACACTGAGGTTTAAGAAAGATCCATCATTTCAAATCAAGGCAATGATCTTAACAAACAGATTATCTTGAAAAGTCATAAACTTCCCTCCACAAGGTACAAGTAGCCATTGATTGAGGGTAATAATGATGAGGATGATGATGATGATGATGATGGTAGTGATTGTGATGGTGGTGGTAGTGGTGGTGGTGGTGGTGATGACATTAGTATAGCTCACTAAAAGAGAGTATGTTTATATGCTTGTATATATTATTTACAACTTCGAGTAAATCTTGTGAATTGCAACTACCGGTATTGTTTTTAGTCATCATTGAACAGAATAGACCTACTTAATAACCTTGACTTATCTTTGAATAAAATTTTGGATGTATACCATTTTGCTATCTCCTTTTATTCCAGATAGAGAGAATCACCCAACCCTTTCCCTCCTCCCCCAGCCCAATCTCATTCTGAGCACATGAGCTTGATCACATGACTTCAAGAATAACATAGATCATGTGACCTACCCCTGCTGTCCATAGCTGATGAGTAGTCTTCAAGTTCAGGCATTTCAATGCCAGCATGACATGACGCTACCTTGACCATGACATGACCATGGTCTGGAACAGTGCCCAAGACACTATTGAAGCCTATACCTATTATACTATATCAAATAACAGGTTATGACGTCACTGCATATATTTCCTTCATAAGAAAAAATTAAAATATAGAACATTCAATGTTAATAATACATATGCAAAAATATAGAATATGATAGAAATTAATGGAAATAAAAAAAATTAAAAAGCCAACAAGGACCAGTAAGCAAAATGAAAATAATAAAAACTGAACAAAACTATATCGAACATAGTAATGGTATATGATGACCATTAGCTAGAGAGAAAGATGGAGAGAGAGAGAGAAAGAGGGAGAGAGAGAGAGAGAGAAGAGAGAGAGAGAGAGAGAGAGAGAGAGAGAGAGAGAGAGAGAAAGAGGGAGAAAGAGAGATAGATAGAGATGTATGGGTCCCTAATGTTTGCTGAAATCAGGGTCACAATATAGAATGTAACTCAGGTCTGAGATAGCAGACTAGCCTAGTGCATTGAGGACAGGCTGAGGTCATAGTCAATGGCTAGAGTAAACACCATCAACTCAAGCCTTGGTTTCCTGACACCTGTTTCATTCCCGGCTAGCTGCTAATGGGCATCCGTCTGTAAACCCTCATACAATTACAAAACAAGTGCAGGAATCTATGCAGTTAGGTGTCAAAGGACTTTGGAACTTAGGACCAGGATTCAAGCATCTGGTAATGAGTATCAGACCCTAGGTATCCACTATCATAACAATCCCGATCTTTAGCAATATCGACCTTCAACTTTTCCATTCTCTCCTGAGCTTCTCTTCTCTCTATGTTTCTTACATTTGTTTTTCTCTTTTTTTAATAGCTAGATTTGTACCCTTCAAAACTACATTTCTAGATCAAAACTATCATCGTCATATCATTGTGATTATCTGTGATTCTATGTCCTAATCTCTCTCTTCACCTTAGTCTTTTTGTAAAACTATCTTTCCTTTCTGTTTTGAGCATTTCACATTTCCATTATCTCTCTCTTTCTTCCTTGCCATTCATCACTCTCTCTCTTTCTCTCTCTTGTTCTCTTTTCAAACAACTGAGAAAATATAACATGAAAGTGAAAAACAAACCAATTAAATATTTTCTTATCCTTCTGAAACAGTAGAGGGAAAGGAAAGAGAAGGTATTTGACATACCCCAGAACAAATGGAGACTATATAGCTAAAGATAATGAGAATTTGTTGGCTGATTGTCAAGAAAAATAAGCCAACGAGCTCAACACAAATAGATTAGTCATCTGAAGGGGAACTGAGTCTCAGGGAAGAACAACACATTATCTAGGGTTTTCCCACAACAGGTGCGTTAATTACTGTCAGGCACATCAATCAGTCTAATAAATATTACATTTGACCATCGCCTACCTTGAAAGAAGAACATGAGCATCAACTGATTAAGGAGAAAATCATATCCTCACAATTCCTGAGGTATATTGTGGTTTATTGATCTAACCAATATTTTCCTCTTTATTTTTTCCTTTTCCCTTTTTACTGTATAGATAAGAAACATAATGCAATATACAGATGCATAGGACAAAACATTTCTGAAGTCAACCCACAAATGCCATCACTCACCAACACACAGTTTAGTGACCGGTAACAAAGTCTTGAATCCTAGTGGCCTGTCCATCACTGTTGGGTAAACCTCCATTACATGCCATTGAGAGATAACCATCCACACACACACACACACTTTCTATACACACACACACACACACACACTCCTCTGTGCTCATAACCCAGTCTACTCACTACATCAGGTTCTTTCCCCTATCTCACCTTAGTCTTTATCATGCAGACCCTATCTTTATACCATGCAGCACTGGTACTTTCACTGGTAGAGAGAGATCTACCGGTACCACTTTTTCTGGGAGTGACAATTCTGTTCAAATTGAAATTCAAAAGTAACTTTTGTATGCAAAATGAGATGACAACTGGATAGAAAGATATTAACCTGCACTTGCTACTCTCCACCCAGGTGTTACATGGGTACCTGGTAGGATGCGACCATCATTATTGGTCAAACAGTTTTTGAGCATCAAGTAACGCCTGGCTGGAATGCTCCCCAGGGAGTGGAGATTGTGCACACAGTGTGTGCAGGCAAGCACTGAATCCAATGACCGGGGTAACAGTATATTTGTAAAGCGCTTAGAGACATTGTATTAAGCGCTATATAAAAGCTAAACATTGTTATTATTATTATATAATTAGCTTTGTCTCCCATCAAAAGTCATCTTCAATGACTGTTTCACATCATCAGTTTAAACAAAACAAAATACAAAAATTATCTTTAAAATTGAGCCTATGAAGTGGAGCTAACATGGCCTTTCGCTATTGAACATTTCTTAATGATTTTACATGTGAGTATAATTACCACATGAAGTCACTTGATACTAATTACTTATCTTTCTAGGCTATTACATACAATTTATAGACAAATTATTATGTACAAATGCAGTCTGCTTCGCATTAGATCATTCATATCATTTTAATAACTCATTTACTATACTTACTGAAAATAGTAATGTGGTTTGAAATGAAATTGAGCTACATACCTTATGTCTTTATTTTTCATTACGTATAAAGATGAAAAGCATTTAGATAAATGAGCAGTGAGCAACATAAGTGATCTCTTTTTCTAAATCGACTTTCCCAACCATTTCTATCATAAAACATTATGTCTCTCTTCACAGTAAGATCCTAGGAATATGATATTTATCAGAAAAACTCCATCATATACAGAGAGCCTTTTGCTTATTGGCTTTGCCTGCTATACAAGAAAAATCAATACAAGGCAATTAGCAGCTATATCATTGCATTGAAACATTTTCTAGCTCGCTTTCTCACCACACAAGTACCTCCATTTGTATCACACCGACATCCAAAAGACTTCTCATAATAATTCTTTCAATACACAATAATTACACCCTACCTGGCTTGACTTTCAGATTTTTTTCCTTTTCTTTTGATATTTGATTGGGATATTTCTTTAGGTTTATTCTGGAGCTAGCTCGCTAGCAGGTGTCTTTGTATTGATGTGTGTATGTTGGCACTGTTTGGCTCATTGCAGAACAATAGAGCTTATTGTTATTCTCTCTCATACAACCATGACACCAACTCATCTATGACCTTGCTTCCATCACTGGTTCACGGTTTCCTTTCAAACCTTTTTAACTGCCTCTCTTTCCACGTATTTGCTTCTTAAAAGAGTTGTATTGATTGATATTTCATACTGGAATTCTTTCTCTCATGTCACGAGTAGTGGGTGGATATTTATACCATAATTAGGTCAGGACAAAAAAAACATTGATTGCTCTGAAGTTTGTGATTTGATTGGCTTTCTGTATGTTTTTCCAGTTTAAATGTCAATTGAATCATTAAAGAAATCACCCGACATTTCTTGTAATGCAGGACAAGTACAACTTTATACACATGTAATCAGTCCTCTAATTATTAATTTCGACAGTCATGTATTCTTAATTCAACTCAATATTCAGAGATAATCAAGAAAATCCAGATTTTACATATAAGTTTTAAACTTTTAATCAATTTTGTTTTATCATTATCAATATTTTCCATGCATAATTGTGGCAATGATAATTAGATATCTACTAGTTTAAGCCTATTTTTCCCCTCTGATCTCTAGCTGTCTGTCTGTCTGTCCTAGGGTTTAAAGCAGTGCCTGGTAAAGTGAGTTAATTAGCTGGCGTGATTCACTATGGATAATAAGGTCAAATAATAAAACTCTGAAAGAAGATGAGAGATGAGAACAGATTATATCTTTTGACATCTAAAGCGAGAGAGGGAGAGAGAAGGGGAGAGAGGGGGAGAGAGGGCGAGAGAGAGAGGAGAGTGGGCTCAGGCGTAAAAATACCAATTAATTCGTGGGTTAATGAGAAAGACATATGATGCTACGTATATGTTAATAGGATATGGTATAGTGCATGAGCTTTAGATCACAACATGATGAAGACACCCCTGCCACAATGTAAGCCATCTTTATCCCCCTCTTATATTCTGTCTGTCTGTCTGTCTGTATGTCCCCTTCCCATCCTTCTCTTTCTCGCTTAGAGTCTATATATTGCTCTCTGCTCTCTTATTAACTTATTATGTCATTATCAACAGAGTATATAAGCCAACTAGTTATTTAGACTACAGACTACACTTAGCATACCTATATATCATTCAACTGATGAATTTAATGTTCTAGCTGCTGTAGTACAAGTAGATTACTGAAAGCAAAAGTATGCCATATAAAGTACCCGGTATTGGGTAGTGATGTCTGGAAACTATAATCTGGACCTCATACATATCCGTTTCATATCATCAATGGAGGAGAATATGTAGGTCAGAGGTAAACTTAAAACTATAACTACGATATACAGCAATGGAGCTGGAAATCTCCTTTCCTCACAGCTCATGAAAATCAGTCAGTGGGACTAGAGCCACTCTACTTGTCAAATGTTGACACTTGTTCGTGTTGACATATATGCTGACTATACCTAACCCAGTCGAGACCTAGCCAGACAGATTATAATTCTGAACAAAACAAACATTGTATAAGTGTGAGGAATTCAGTGAGAATACATACAAACATTCCAATCAAAATGCTTAATTACTCAGCTAAGAAACAAGAACCAGTGTGCAAACCAATAACAAATAGATCTTTAAATTATGCACAGCCCTGTAGCAAGAAGTTAAACCTTTCTGTCAACACCTTCCAATAAAAGGGCATATTGAAATGACGGATTGACTAGAGAAAGGTATTAGTAAAGAGTTTTTGTTTTCATGAAGGTAGGCGTACCATGTACCACCATCACTAATACACTTTTATTCAAATCTCAATGGAATAAGAATCGACTTGTTGATATAGTCCCACCCATGTTAGAAGGTGTAAGGTAAAGCAGTATCCTACACATAGACAGGTATCAAGAAAACATATTCAGTTTTATGTATGTCATTGAATGAAGCTTTGAAATAAATATAAAAGAAAAAAGGAAGGAATGATCAAAACTTCCCAAATGTGGAAACAATTTAGGTGAACATCACTGATTCCAAACTTTCCACTGTTTTAAACAATTTGTTTTTACCAGGGTTATAACCATACTTCAAAATAAAAATGACACAAGACAATACGGTGTCTTACATTCTCCATAAACAGTTCTTCTTAAAATACAACTTCAATTTGGGTGAATCTAATCACTATAACTAGCAGAATTATGCAAAGCTAGCTAGGCAAAAAGAGAAATTCTGCTACATTTAAGTCTCTGGTATTACCAGGAATAGCTACACACATTTTCCCAATGTGCGGGGGCAGGGTAAACTCTACTCTACATGTGCTAGCTTCGAGAGGAATCTGAATCACATGACTGAAATCTGAGGGATGCTCTTCTATGAATATCAAGTAATCTCAAATATTACAGGAGTAATCCTTGATCACCATCTCGACACACTTTCTCTTCATATATTTTCTTGATGAAATACAAAGTCTTTAAGAAGAGTAGGCCTATAAGAGCAGGGATTATGTTTCCTTCTAAGTCTTCTATTAATCTAATAAATCCCTAATTTCAATTTATATTCACAGTCATATGTAGGACTGCTGTCTTTTCTCTGAAGGAATAGCTAGGAGATTGATTAATTCCACCATTTTTTGAAATCACAAGATGATAATGACACACATTAATATCAATTGATCATGAAGCCCCTGTCTGCTTGAAAACTAACACCTAGCTCACTCACTCACACGCTGGTTTCATCAAGGCTTATATCTTGTCTCATGCATGTGAAAAATTGCCATGGAAACGGATATGAAGGTGCGTAATTCAAGAGTAAGTGATTAATACGCAGTAGCATCCGGTTAAGAAGGAAATAGTGAGACAGGAATCAAGCCTTCAACAATGATAATTCTGACATTTGAGCGATATAATGTGGAGTGGGTCTACTCATCACCAAGCAACTGGGGAGGGATTAACTGCTTGGGAACCATAACACCCAATCAGGAACAGAGATGTGCCTCCAGGTTCAAATCCTATCAACAAAACAAAAACACACGCTAAAAAGGAGGGGGAAATGGAAGAAGTCCCTTTGAAATCCAGTGCTCAGCGAGAGGAATAAAGGAGAGGGGTGGGGGGTAGGAATGGAGAGAGTGAGTATAGTGAAGAGATGTGTATTACTACATGGTAACCCTTAGGGGAAGGATGTATTACCAATCATGGTATCTTAGTCCCAAGTGTGTAGATGTGTGCTGTGAGTGACAAGGGGGGAAGAGTGGAAGCTGTGTGGGCTGAGGAGGGGTGGTGAGGAGGGGTGGTGAGGAGGGGTGGTGAGGAGGGGTGGTGAGGAGGGGTGGTGAGGAGGAGTGGTGAGGAGGGGTGGTGAGGAGGGGTGGTGTTCAGGGGGTACCAGGCCCAGAGTGACAAGGGGGTAAGAGTGGAAGCTGTGTGAGCTGAGGAGGGGTGGTGTGGAGGGGTGGTGTTCAAGGGGTACGGGGCCGGCAATGAATGGATATATAATTAACAAAATATATAATCCACTATGATTACACTACATCCCACATCAGTAGAATACCATAGAGGCTGCTTTCAAGAGTAACTCATCACAAATAAATCAAAATCAGTGCAAATATAATTCTTACCTTTGTCAAGATGATTTGAGTTGTCCGGTGATTATTCTCCGTGTAATTTGTCCTGTAAGTTGGCAAGCCACGTAGAGTCAATCCAATGGTCCGTCTGAGAAGAGGTTGAACAAAAGCAGAGAAAAGGGGAGACGATTAAAGAAGGTGGCAAAGTATTCCTTGCACAGGGAGAGAAAGACAGAGTTAGAAGCAGTGTATAGAGCATGCATGCATGGCTGCATTTTAATGACCAGCCATCAAAAGTAGGATGAAAGGCATAAGGCACAAGGCCAGTCGCTGGATAGTTCACCCCTGAGTGTCCCCACACACACCGTCCAGCCAGCCTGCCAGCTAGCCAGCTAGCTACCTACCACACACCACACCGATCCCTACCTACCTACCGACACCCATGCACACTCATCAACCAACCAGCCAGCCAGCCACGCTGGACGTCAGCAATACTGGACCACCAAATGCAGAGCTGCTTAATTCTCACTGCATAATGAATCATTCCTTAAATGAGGAGGGGAAAAAAACGACATTCACACAAACATACAGAAAGAGAGGCTTTTCTTCTACTCTCTCTCTCTCTCTCTCTCTCTGTCTCTCTTTCTCTGTGCCTAGTATCCATAACCTACTCTCCGTCCATCTGGCATGTTAATTAGATGCAAGGCATATAAGCGTTGACTTTGTGTGAGAAGCTAATTTGCATTAACAAGCCTGAGACTGAGAGAGAGAGAGAAAGCTGTTGAGCTGAGTGAGAGGCTATACAGTAAGATGTATCATGGCCACGTTAATGAATCAATGCTAACTCACACGTCCTCACTCTAGCTGCTTCTTAGCGCCATCTTTTACTTCCTTCAATCCTCCAAGTTCATTAATCCCCTCTTACTGGCCAGCCAGCCGGCTATCTCTACCTTTTCCCTTACACCTTATTAAATCTCTTAAAGGGAAGTGAAGTTTGTTGCGGTGAGAAGTAGGTCAAGCTCTCTTATTGATGAATCGATAAAACTCTCCATTTCTACTTCAAAATTGTCAGAGGGGAAATAATGACCTATTTCTGCTCGGTATATTTTGAATATATTAACAAAACCATTGCTTACAATAAACTAAAGGAAAAGAGGCTCAGTTATTCTCCTTAATTTCTTCTTCCGTTTCCTCCTATTTTACATTTCTTTAACATTTCCATATCTACAGACTTTCAATATAAGAATAATTGCTTTCACTAAAAAAATTGCATGATTAAATATTTCAAAGATATTAAATTATTTCAGCGAACGAGAGTAAGCATAAATTAGTATACCGAAGCATGCATATCAACAACTCCACCACATATAAAAACAATAATGTATGTTACAAGGACAAGGAAATCAATACTCTGTACATCAATCATTCTCTATCTACATTTGGCAAGAGAATAGTTACATCCTATTTCAAAGCACACTTCATGTCAAAGCTACTGGTACCGGTATAAAACCATCACATACACAGTCCAGGTCTTAGTCATGCAATTATTTTGACCTAGGTATCACACTACTAGTAGGGTAGGAATAATATATTGTCATTAGATATTAATACTTTTCTTTTTCAAGGCTTTCAGGTTCACAAGATCCTATTGACTTTTTACATTGATTCATTTCTAAAGATAATGGCAGCATTGACCTGAAACGCAAAGAAAAACATGGGTTTTCTGCCTCGGTTATTGTTTAAAAAGTATTATAAATCAATAATAATCAAAATGGCAAGAAGATTATGAACTTCAACTGTAAGGCTAGTAGATAAGATTGACAAGTTTGTTAGCTCCATTTTGCATGTATATCTTATCAAAATATTTCAAGGGTAGCTTTTATGCAAGATCCGTGATCTAATTCCTTAACATGACGCACTGTAGCAGTTCTACTCTACGCCCCCCCCCCTCCTTTTAATGTGGAAAACTATATGTTTGATACTTCATAGCCATATGATAAATATGCCAACTTTTCTAATGTTATGTTCTGAAAAACAATTGGTCAACAGTGGTTTGGACATCGTTTTGATAAATAAACATGATCTAATCACCATGTAAACATCATATAGTATAAGAATTTAAGCACAACAACACACTTAATCATAGTGTACCAACAGATACTTACACAAATATGAATCCAGTTTGCCCCTATGGTCATTTTACTGTTACATGTCATTTTTAAAACAATAATTTGTTTTTTCTTGATTGAAAAGTCCCCTAGTTACTTAATTAGAGTGGCTACTGACTCACGTATGGATAGAACATTACCTACGTACGGTATACCATTGGTCATCACACGCTCATCACACTTCCATCACATAGTATCTTGGAGCTGATTATTAATGGCTTTTTCATTCATAGCATTGGTATTGGTCATTCCAAGGAAGCCATCCGAAAGTTGTTAAAACTCTTCTATTATTCAGAAGATAATCTACCTTTCCATGTACGCTAGTTGATTCACCTCTGACCGATGCTTGGTAGGACAACTCCTCCTTAATGTTTTTTCTCAATGTCATTAAACTTAGAGTTCATTTTCTGCAACATGCTGCAACTGTCTTATATCGTCTGTTTGGTTGGAGCCATAGGGGTGTTAAATCATATACTATAACACAGATTTAACACCCCTATGGCTCTGAACAGATGATATGAAACATGTTCACCAAAGTATGGATGCCCTCTAAAGATGGGATGTATACATTCTGTTCATGATACATGTAACAACCAATCCTTGATCTACAAAGATCTTGTCCCTATCAATACAGAAGGATACTGTCAGGGCAAGCAGTAGGGTCGTACGACACCTGCTCCTGCAACAATTTCCTACATGAACCAAATTCAAACCTTCAACCTGAGACCCAATACTACACCTATCTATAACCCTAAACTACCGAAAACCCAATAGCATCCCAAACCCTAAATCCTAACGTTAAATCTTTGACAAAATGCAGCTTGAGGCAATTGTTGCAGGAGCAGATGTCTGGGCACCAACAGTAGATGTGAAAAATTACCAAGTTGACATCTATTAAATCCAGAACCCATAGCCTCCTGAAAACATGTAAGATATACATTAAGAGCAACGAAGATGAGATGCAGTAGGACAGGAGTAGACAAGCATACAGGTATACATGTACATAAACAGAAAATATGACTACGGAAATCTGTTGTCATCTCCTCTTATCTTGACTAATCACACCGCTGACAATCTTTCTTTTCTTCTCCTCTATGATTCTTGTCAAATCTTGACTTGGATGAGACAGACAGACCTTAGGGCTAAGGTCATCACATTGTATGATCCCAGGGGGTATCATCGTTAATGGCTCCAGTTACCATGGTAACAAACATCATTAAGATTAAACTACTCTAAAACCCTAGCATTAATCATTCCAGGCAGGCAGCAGGCAAAGACAGTGTACAAAGAAAGAAATAGACAAGGTATTGTCTCTCTTAATGACTACAACTGAAGGTGAAAATGTACTGGTTTAATATATCTCCATGGAAACAATGCATGTCACCATGGAAATCCATTTTTGTTTTTTAATGGTAATTATATTCCCAGTTGTAATTATAGCCTGGAGAACTTAAGCTTAATTGCAGTCTGATTATCTTATGAGAAAATAAAATACAACAAAGGGATGGTTGCTTAACTACTTGAGCTTGGGCATACATTGAAGTATCATTGAAGTATACCTATAACTATATATGTATGGGCGTGTGCTTTTAAAGCAAGTTTCTGTGTCCTTTGTATATTGTTACTACATATGAAAGGATAAGATATTTGTTTTCTAAGACAAAGAAAGAGTACAAAACTTAACACACTACTTGATCTTTTATAAAGCATTCTATTTGTGGTGAAATCTTCAAATTTACAGAGAACTTCAGATATGAAAAAATAATAGCAGGCCTTTGAGAGTATTTGTCAAAATTATTCAATTCAATTGAACCCAAACAATAACTAAGAATTGTTGTAACACTACTTGTGTTTTGATAGCCAATCTACCAGGAGCTAGTCCAATGACAAGACTTGTACATCTTCATTGTAATACTAGCATCAACAGTCGTAAATCTTGCCATCTACCCATACTACAAGATGAACCTAACTATGTAAGACAAGCTAGCATTGGTGCTCTTAAGTTAGTTTGAGAGGTGTAACATGGTGCTCACATAACCACTTCTACTCCTCCTCACAGCATCCTTTCTAAACTACTCCCCAAGCTTGCCTCTATCTCATCCTAGAATTAGATTACCAACACTTGTGTAAATGTATCTCCATTAGAGCCCAAACATGCAACCATGCTCCGCTACTTTGTCAGAGCCGTTAACTTTCCAACAAAGGGATGAGATGAAGATTGGATGTTGCATGGAATGGGGAGTTGTTGCATGCAGACAGACATTGTACTTTGCCTCTCCTTGAACAAGTTGAAGCAGGCGTGAATGTTTAGAGGGAATGTGTTTAGACAAGAGCCACTGAAACAAGGCGGGGTGAAATCACACAGATTTGGTTTAACGTCTTTGCACCTGTCACCCTCAGTTTACACAACCGTTCCTAAATTGGACTTGCCAAGCCATTGAAACGGCTATAACTCCAATGTGAGCTGCCCCATTTATCTGATTTTGTCTAATTTGCCTCATTAAATTCTCCTTCCCATGGTACCCATTTATTCCTCTTTGTCACCAGCGCCATCAAGATTTATTTGCCTCAGAACATGGCCCACATTCTCGCTAATTAAACGTTTCATATCTCATTGCAATATAGTACTTTGAGCTAGAGTAGGGAGCAATGCACTACAAAAGAGCCACTGGCCAGGAGAGAGGGGACAGACTCCTGTAAATAATTGCTCTACTTATATCAATCTAGCACCCATAATTCTCTCACTGATCATGGTTAAGAGAATCGATTGCCAGATTAATGATGTTAATTGAAATTTGGTCTCTACGAAAGGAGATGGATATGATACCCTTCATAAGCCTGTCATCAATCATTTAACACAATGATCTTAAAATGTACAGTGCCCTTTACTAAATCCGACAAAATTCATTTATAAGTAACACCCACATATCTAGATGAAGCCCTCCCTCTCTTGTTTTAATTTCCCTCAAAATATGAGCCA